CCCCCCCGGCGCCACGCTGCCGCTCCGCAAGCGCCCGCTGCGCGCCGCCTCCCCAGAGCCCGCTGCCCCTCGCGGCGCTGCGGGCCCCGTTGTCTCCTCGGACCCTCTGCGCGGTGGCTGTGACACGCCGGCGGTCCCCGGGCCCCCGCACGGCCTGGCCCGGCCAGAGGCGCTTTACTACCCAGGTGAGTGACCTCCGCGGGTCGGGGCCGGCTTGGGGCCACACAAAGCATAGGATCATCAGAGCCAGGAGACAGCTCAGGACACAAATAAATGTGGTTCCGGGTAACTTGAGGAAAAGGGATTAGAATATGAGGTCCCAGGAATATAGATATTAAACCACTATGGAGCCAGGGAGCAGGACCTTGGGACACAGATATGACGGTCCCAGAGAGCTAGGGGTTAGGGGACACTGGGGGACAGAGCCCAGGGGCCAACTGGCACAAATAATAATGAGCCAGGGACAGGGGCCAGTGGTACAGATATGAAGGTGTCAAGGAATCAAGGGCAAAGACTGGTGTCCCAGGGACGCAGAATTACAAGCTCTTAAGAAGTCAGATATGTAGGGTTATTAGGAATCCCCACTTGGGGGCCGGCCCGTGGCTCACTCGGGAGAGTGCGGTGCTGACAACACCAAGGCCCCGAGTTCGGATCCCATATAGGGATGGCCGGTTCGCTCACTGGCTGAGCGTGGTGCTGACAACACCAAGTCAAGGGTTAAGATCCCCTTACCGGTCATCTTTAAAAAAAAAAAAAGGAATCCCCACTTGGGCCAGAGTAACTGGGGTCCCTGGTATCCAGATAGGTGGGGTCAAAGAGAGTCAGGGGAACAGATATTAGGGATCCCAGGATGTCAAAATCTCAGGAACCAAGATATCAGGAGGCATGGGGAATTAGGAGAATAAAGTTGGGGTTCTACGCACCCCAATATCTGGGATCACAAGGATCTGAGGGAACAAATCAGAGTTCACAAGGCCCAGACACCAGGGGATCCTGAGGAGCCAGGGGAACAGAGACCTAGGATTCTGGGCACCCAGCTACATGTGGCTACAAACGATCAAGGGTCCTATCTGGAGTCAAAAGGTCAGGTGGCCCTTCAGGGATTGGGAACTGAGGATTCTAGGAATGGGGGGTAGGACTGGGAAATTCTGGGACTCAAGGATTTAAAGCTAGGATGAGGCTGGCAGAAGGCCTCAGAACCCCAAGGCCTGGTATTGGAGATACAAGGACCTGAAAACTTGAGAGTTCTGGAATGGGGGGCCCCCAAATATCAGCAGATATTGGAGAAGGCCACACACCTTTCTCTCCATCCGGTCTCTATCTCTGATCTCAAAGAAGGGGCATCCCCTACCACAGCTGTGGCCACTTCGCCATACCCGAGTGACCCCCCAAAGCTGCAGAGAGCCCATCTCTAATGTCCCCACATCTTTACCCAGTCTCTGCACCTTCCCCCCACATCGGTGCAGCAGTTGGAGAGCCTCAAGCTGTGCATCAGGAGGCCTACCATTGCCTCTCCTTTTCCCACTCCATGGGTGAGAACCCAGGTCTCGGTTTTCCCTATCTGTATGATGGGTAGATACAAAGTCAGTGGTTGCCATTGTCTCTTCCAACAGTTTGATCTGAACAGGCTCTGGCGCCGCCCCCTCTGACCCTAACTTCTCCCCAAATCCACTACACACTCACTCCACGCACTACCTTCCCTTCCCTTCCCTCCCTCAGCCACAAATCCACTCAGTGAACAGGCCCTGGGATCCCCCTCCGGGGTGATGATGGAGGGAACCTTCTGCACTTAAGGGATTCTTTGTCTGGTAGCAGGTAGGGGTCAGACACATGAAAAGATAAGTGACAGTGAGAGTGACTAGGGCTAGGGGGAGGGAAAACTGCTGAATCCAGAGGAGGGATGTGGAAGAGGGTTTGTCTTGGGCCTTGAGGAACCAGTATGAGATGCAAAAGGGACCTGGGAGGAAAGGCAGATGACCCTGCAGGAGTGAAGGTCTGGAGATGGGGAGCAAGTTGAGGGTGTGTGGGCTTGGCCTCACCGATGTCCTTTCTCTGTCTTCTGATGTCCAGGGCCTTTACTGCCCCTATACCCCACCCCAACCATGGGCTCTCCCTTTCCTCTGCTGAATCTGCCTACACCCCTGTACCCCATGATGTGCTCAATGGAACACCCCCTGTCAGCCGACATCGCCATGGCTACCCGTGCAGATGAGGATGGAGACACGTGAGTGACAGTGTTCTATTAATGGAGAGGGGGAAGGGGAGACCAGCCCTACATAGCACAGGGGCACTCAGGTCCAAGGACCCAAGTTAGAATCCTGTCTCCACCACTGGCTATGTGACATTGAGCAAGGTCCTTCCCCTCTCTGAGCCTCAGTTTCCTCCTCTGAAAAATGGGCAACCTGAGAATGCCTACCTCCTAGGGCTGTTTTTGGAGCAGTGGTCTTAAGCATTTTTATCACAATCCAAAAATGAGGAATACATTTCATTGGCTGGTTTTCTATATGAATTATGTATGCAAAGCTACTAGCACTGGGCCTAGCTTAAGTATTCAATAAGTGTTAATTAATATTATTACTATTATTTATCTCAAACCCAGCACACACACATATATACACATAAACTTGAAATAAAAAATTGTACAAAACAAAATAATACTCACCCTGACTACATGGGATCTACTTTGATATTTTCTATTCTAGCCTACTTCATTGTTTCGTGGTCATAGCCCACTAAGCTAATTTAATGATCCCCTAAATTGATTTCACAAACCCCAAGCACCTGCAGTTTGAAGAACATGCTTATAAGGCTGCTGAGGAATCCTACACAGAAGGGTTTAGCCCTGTGCCTAGCACATAGTAAGCAATCAATACAATTGACCATCATGATTATTATTATTTTATCAACTTGGATTTGAATTTCAGCTGGCCACTTTCTTTCACTTCTGTGCCTCATTTTTCCCCTCTGTAAAAACAGGAACCATAAGTGTGTGAGGGTCTTTGAGGAAGAAATGAGATGGTTTATGTACAACACTTATGTGGGAATTGATTTGGGGACTGGAAACAACAGGTCCGCAGGTAGAGATGAACAGGCCCATTTCTGCAGAGAAGGCAGGGAGCAGGGTCTCCAATACTGACCCACTGGGTGACTTCATGTCCCTGAGCCTCAGTTTCCCTGTTTGGAAACCAGGCTCCATAATAGCACCTATCACAATTAGGATTCAGTGCAATGATGTGCACATAACGGGCTGGGCAAACAGTAAGCGCTCAATACATTGGAGTGGGTAGTGTTTGAACTGAGCTCCCCAGGTGGTTGTGAGCCATTGCTGTGAGCCCGAGCCAGAGAAAGTGCGGAGATACATAAAGGGCTGAAGAAAACCTGGTTCCCTCCCCTTCTGGGTACTTCTAGGGGGGTCATCCGTAAATCTAATCTAATTTGTATATGCCCCCAGGGGTGAGCTGTTTGTGGCCTGGGAAAGCAGGGTGCATGCGAGAGGCCACCAGCCCCACCAGTCTCCAGCCCCAGCTCCTCCCCCCAGCCGCCCTCCCCCGCTGTCCCCCGTCTCCCCCAACGCAAACACTTCTGCCTCAGCTGCCGGCTGGGGGAAATCCCTTCCCGCAGAGCGCGACCGCAGCCCAGCTGCTCTGCCTCCCGCGCGTCAGCACCCGTCACTCACTGGCAGCCTCCCCCTTCTGGCGCTCCCTCCAACCTTAACCCCTTCCGCTGGGGCCGAGACTTTACCGGAACGGGCAGCTGGCCCAGCCCCAGCCTGCGCCACCGGCCCCACTTTACACTGGCGGGGGAGGGGAGTGGGGGGAAGTGGGGAGAACGGCGGGAGAAGCTAAGTCTGGCTCCGAAGAAGCAAAGGCTGGGGAACCGGACTTCTAGCTTCTCACAGGGAGCAAGAGCCGCAGGACATCTGGACCCCAAAGAGGTTAGGGACTGGGGAGCTAGAAATCCAGATCTCCAAGAGAGGGGACATGTTCTCAGTCGCGGAGAGCAGAGACAGGGGTACTGTATTCCTTCATCCCAGAGGCGGTAAGGAACAAGGTCAGGGGCAGCTTGGGGACATGGCTCTCGGAGGGACCTTAGGGCCAGGACAAGCTACATAATTTGCAGGACCCCTTGTTCAAAAATTTCAAGATAGCGACAGCAGAACTTTAAACTGAGCGCTGGGCCCTTCTAAGCGCTGAGCCCTGTGCAACTGGACAGTCACACACGAGCCAGTGAAACTAGTCGTGCCTAGGGGCCTGGAAGCCCGTGTCCCTAAAAGGGCAAGGATTGGAAAGCTGTATTCCTGGGGCCCCAAGGGGAAAAGGAAGAGGACAACTTGGGGACCTAGAGCTCAGAGGGACTGGAGAAGTCCTTATTCTTAAAGAAGATTTAGGGCACTGTTATTTCTGGCTCCCAGGAGATCTTGGGAGTGGATGCCAGGATACGGGGGACAGGGAGCCAGCTGGAGTCAGCCCTGAAGGACAGAGTTCCAGAGGGGCCCCCAGGCTGGAGGACTCGGGGTTCTGCCCCCCACCTCCACCCCAGGGGAGCTAGGTCTCTTTGAACTGAGCTCTCCCATCCTCCGCCCCATTGGAGGATGGAAATTGGGTGCCGGGGGTGGCCGGGGTAGATCCCCGGCGGGACAAGCTTCCCTCCCCCGGGAGCAGGAAGCGGAGCCCCGCCCAGCAGACCTGTTACTGGAAGTCCGAGGGCTGGGCCGCCCCTCCCGTCCCCACTTCCTCCAGCCCCGCCCCACCCCCTGCGGCCCGCGCGTTTATGGGAACTCAGGCCTGGACGGTTTCTCTGAAATCATTCGCTCCCTCTGCCCTCACTTAACCCCGCCCGCCCTCAGAGGGACCCAGGCCGGG